AGTTTTAATTTTCAAAAGATTTTGATCGGCTGCGCAGGAGACCCAAGTGAGACAAACGTGTCTTTGTAGGATCCGGTTCATAGAACTGGTTCAAGCCGCAGGCTGGGTAAAATGGTTTTGGGCCAGGGCCAAGGCTAGGTTTGGGCTAGGCCAGGGATTTAATAAGGAAACGGCTTTTTGTGTGGGTTGAACCAAGTGGCTACTCAAGTTGGGTAACAGATCCGAATCCAAGATTCAGAAGAGGAATTTAATAAAATAATTAAGTAAAGCAATAGATAAAAAATTGGCCGGTTCACAAGGATTCCAACCGGTTTACCTCTAGTTTAGGGCAACATAAAATAGATAAACTCTTAAACTAACCAGTTCAATGCCGATTTAGTGATAATTTATTTGTTTTAGGCCTAGTTAAAAGGATTTAATACATAAGCCGGCCAGTTCAGTGAATAAAAGGCCAGTTTAGGGAGTAATAAGGTGGGTTTAATGCTTTTTAGGCTGGTTTAGGGCCGGTTCAGTATAGTAGAGGCCAGTTTACGACTGGTTCAGTGACATAATGGCCAGTTCATAGTTGGTTTAGCCTCTTAATGGCCAATTCAGGATCGGTTTAGTATATTAAATAATAGTTTTTGGTTTAAATAAACTGGTTTTTATGTTTATGAGATTGGTTCATAACCTTGGCACTCGATTCATAACTTTTTAACCGGTTCGAGCCTTTAGTAGTCTTGGTATGGGTTCGAGCACGAAAATTTATAACTTTATTCTGTTCCTTAACTAGGAAAATTTCATTTCTTCAATTCTTAAATATATTAGAAGTATAATTGAGATATTTTACTATTATGTGACTTAGATTACTTATACAGTTTTGATTGAGCGCGTGTTGCTGGAGATTTGATTTATCGATTTTTGTCATTTTTGTGAGTAATAATATATATTTATAAGCATTTATTGTTTTTCTATATCTGTGATAAACTCTGATTTTATATGATATATATGTTTTTCTTGAAAATTAATTAAATTCTATTAAAAAGTATAACAAGGGACATGTATGTAATTTCTGGAACTATTTTGGAGAAACTATCTATTACTTATGTTTGATTCAATTTATATTTGTAAATGGAAAAATTCTGTTAAACTATTATTTCTGAAAAATATTTTGAGAGGGTTTTGAATTTTAAAATGCTGCAGTTAACAGTAGTATGCGTTAATTTGAGTACCCTGACTTGTATATATATATTTCAGTTAATTGTGTGTCGCCTTCTTGATTATCAATAAACTAAAATGTTGTCGTCCTATTTATCGGCTAATGATATGTCGCTGCCCTGATTATCAGTAGACCTGTTGTGTCGCCGTCCTAATTTCGGCAGACTAAGTGTCACCATCTTGTTTTCTGATATCTATAACGTTTTGGATTACAAACTTTTTAAATTATGGTTAGCTGTTAAAAGCCTATTTTTAGTGAATTACATGTTATATCTGTATATATGTCATTTATTCTCATAAATACATATTATTATTCACTAAGTCTGTAGACTTACCCTTATTTTTTCTGAATCTGAGTTTGTTGGTCTCACGAATCCTGTTATCGGAGAGGAGTTCGTATTATCTGCTATTTTTGTTTGGATTTTAAAAGTTAGTTATTTAGTTTCTGTCAAACTTTGTATCCCTGAAATTTTAATATGTTTCATTTGACTATAGAACAGTTTTGTGTTATATATTGATAGATTAGCTAATATAGTTTGGATTACATTTTGTTTTTATATTAAATTATCAGTTTAGTTAAATTCTGTATTTTCTATTATACTTGCGAGGTTAAGATTTATTTTAATTTTAGTATCGATCACAGATCCGATTTCTAGATCATGACAGTTGTCGTCCACAATTTTTGGTCAATTTGTTGGTCATTTGGGATTGTCAGAGTTTGATGACTCTAGTGCTTTGATAGCCCAACAGAAGGCGAGCACCACTAGTACAAGGGTAAGAACACACTAATAGTTTGTATATTTATTCAAGTTATTTTCTCCAATTATGTTAAAATTTATCGAACAAGAGATAATAATTCAAAATACGTTTAATTAAAATACTTTTATATAGAAGTTGCTCCATCTCCCGCTATTCAACCTATCCTATCATGCCCTTCTATGATAATGAGTTCCCTTAGAACCTTGATGGGTTTGATTTATTGGGATTAAAATAATTATTTTTAATTTTGACAGAATGTGAGTAATTGTGATTTTATGTATTCCTCAACTTAAACTTAAATTCTATTATTACATTAAATGGATTAAAGCAAGAGAAATAGATAGGCAAATAAATTACAAACAATTCTAAAATGGGGTTTCTCTTACTCTCTCTTTGTTGATAAGCGAAATAATTGGACACTAGTACACTTGCATTGGTTCAAACCGTCACTTTATTTTGACAAATTGTTAAATTCATTTTTTCCTTTTAGGGAGAAAAAGAAGAATGAATTTTCAATAAAATACCACTTTTTCACTTTTTTAATATATAATATATAAAGACTTTCTGAAAAATATTAAAAAATTATATATATATATATATATATAGTAATCCATCAATAAAAAAGTGCCGCGTGGAGTAGATCAGAAGAATAAGAAAATCACAGGAAAAATATACAAATTTTAACCATGCATCGATCTCTCAAGTCACATTATCTCTCAATTCATTATTCTTTCCTTCCATGCTTCGTTCATGCCAGCCGGTGGAAATGATTATGGTTGGACCGACCGGTTTAACCTTTTGAACCCATTAGTTTCACGGTTTGATTTAGTTTTTTGTATTAAATAATTAAAAACTTGAACATGTAAAAAGTCAAGCCTTGTTAACACTAATATATATACAAATAATTGTCAAAATTTTTTATAATAATTTAATAATTATAAATTAAAATTTAATTAAATATACTACAATTTTCTATTTAACCGCTTGAACTAATGAATTTTGAAGTAACAACCTTCTAATAAACAAATATATAAGACACAATAAATTTTATAATTAAAAAAATATGATATGTGGGTGTATACGGAAATACCAAAATTAGAAGTTCATAGAATTATGTGTATGTAATACAAATTTATTTTTTATAGTACAACCTATTATATATTGAAATATTTTATTTTGGTCTATTTTTTCTGGGTTCAAGATTAAATTTTATTACAAAAATATATATTGATATTATTTCATATTTTTGAATATTACGTTTCTTTATTTTTCTCTGATGTTAAATGGTGATATTTTTTTCCTGTAAATTGTTTGGTCCATGGATGTCATGGGTTCGTCCCCCGTCCGGTCCACCGCCCCGCCAGCGGAAGTGTGTCACCTCGGAGCGGGAGGGTAATAATTATATTTCTTAACCATTATTAGGGGTGATTGGATGTATAATTATATCTGGTAGGGCTTAATTAATTCTCTATGCCATAAATTTCTATTTTAAAAAACCCATAAATCAAAAAGTAAAGAGGTATCTTGATGGTAAAATAATTTTTAAATAAATTCCATAATTTATTATTTATTGCATATTTTTACAATAAAATATAATCAAATAACTAAATTTATTTTATTTAAATTCACTTTTTTAAAAACCTATTAAATCATAATTAAAAGAATACAATTTTCCAAAACAATTAGTTTATATAAGATTCAAAGATGAGTAAAAAACATTTGTTATTCATTCAATAATAAGATGAAATAAATGAAAATTAAATGGCTGCACCAATTTAAATTAAGAAAATAAGATAAGGGGGTTCCCATAATTTAAAAATGGTTATTATAATTTAATTAAAACCAAAATAAAGAAAAGGGTCTTTTGTGTGTGTGTGTGTGTGTGAGAGAGAGAGAGAGAGAGAGAGAAAGGAACAGCTAGAAAAGTGCTACCTGGTTACAACAAATTTAAAGAAAAATATTTTATTTGTTTATGTTATTTATTATTTGTTTATAAAAAAGTAATAAAATATTTTAATTTTTTATTTGATTACTTCATTTCCTGTCCTTTTGTATATGTATCCATTCATCCTTCATAAGCTTGCTTGTTGTGACTTTGGACTAGTGATGACATTTGTCTCGAGATGTATTGTCATGGAATGTTAGTCTTATCCCAATTACCAGAATAACATTAATAATAATAATAATAATAATTACTAGCATATGATTGCCTAATGATCTATATATATATATATATATAATGTTTGGTATGAAAATTTTTAAAATTTATAATTTTTATAAATAAGAGAAAATATGAAATTAAAAAATTTATGGATTAAATTTCAAAAAGTTCAATTATAAAATTCTAAATCAAGGCTTTTAAAGCCAAGAGCTTTTGGAATTTTGGGATGTCGAATATTTATAAAAATATTTAAAAAAATATCTCTAAAATTTCAGAAATTTAAAATGCAAAAAACCCAGAAATTCTGAAATGATGATATAAATTTATGGATTAAGACCCTTTAAACTGGGGCCAAAATGAAACTATCATATTTCATGGGTACTTGTGAATGAGCCACTTAACTAAGGGATTACAGGTAAATAAGGAAGTCAAAATTGTACTCGTATTGTAAGCTTAACACTAGGCTGGAAGGCCAAATGACAAGCAGAAAGCCAACAAAAAGGAATATTAATTTTCATAAATGCAAAAATGACAGGCCTTAACATTCTGACAGCTGCATAATCCCAACCAAACTGTAATCCGAGAGGCTCTGAGCTGCACATTCAACAACTCCATTTATCTTTCTCATCTCCAGCTTCCGTCTGGGCTGCCATGTGGAGAATTTCAAGGGAAACCAGTGGCTTTCACCTTCTCTATCCTCCTCCTATTCCAATTGTTAAAGGCATTTGTAATTAAAAATGCAGACTTGAATTTCAAAATAATACCCACTTCTAATCTTCACCGCTGAGAAGCCGAGAATATCAATGCTACTCTGTCAAGGGAATAACTTAACAGAGCCCTGCTGAACAAGTAGCTGGACTTTTGAACTATAAATGCCACAGTATTAAGAAGTTGAACTTGCAGAGGTTCCGAGGAACTTCTCTGTTGCCTTACCCTGGATCACAATAAACTCTCATAAGTCGCAGTAATTCCAGAAATGAGAATATCAGATCACATTTTGGTGCCTGATTTTTTCCAATATTACCAGAACTCTGAAAGATATGAAGAGCTGAAAAGGCGAGAGTGAGAAGAACCAGCTCTTCCCCTGAAGAAGTCATCCATAAGAAGCAATGAATATGAACTTTCTAAAAGAATTGGTTTCATTACATCTTAGCTCAGTTCATAAAAATGTATGAATGAGCTTTACAAGAGAACCTCAGTATACATGAATAAGCTATAGAATCATGAATTTACCACCTAGTAATGAAAAAAATAAAAATAGAATAGAAACTATATTACACTTCGTAACCCAGAAATAATGGCCACCGGAAGACTGTCTAAAACTTCAGGCTTACATAAACCCACCTGAAACATGCATGCAGTAACAATTACTGCTTTCTGCCAAATAATCTATTAACGAGAAGTGTTCACACTATATAGGTTTGATTTGACTTCTTAGGACCCCGTTTTCTTCTAGGGTTGGCACTAATCATGCATGAAAATGCATTGACAAGCTCAGAATCTTCATCAGTAATCAGCATTTTTGCTGCATTAGGTTTGGAAAGGAGGAGTTTCGCCACAAGATATCCAGCAATTGACCAGGTTTGGAACAGGTGTGATTGTTTTCCGATGAACCTGGCTCTTTGGTGTCATAATATTCAGGCCACTGGTCCCTTGATATGCACCTCTCTGCAACTGCAACAGCTTTAGCTGCAATTTCTGGTCTATTCATCTTAATGCATGCGACAGTGAGCTGCACAAGAGCATTTAACAACATTACATCTAACAAGCGCGCACACTGATTGGTGTGATGTGACCATGTCTGATTATAAACACAAATTGAACACATCAAATTGCTGTCTATCTTTTTTCCTTCCTCATTTTATAATATCGGACACACCATTTTGTGTATTACAGAAACATGTGTGCGTGCGTGCGTGCGTGTGTGTGTGTGTGTGTGTGTGTGTGTTTTGTTTTTTGATAACACTTACTAACATTAATATTTTACAACTAATATTAATATTTTACAACACTAAAATGAAACTAAAAACAAAAATCAGATGTATTTAGGCAATACATGAATGAAATAATTATATCAGTTTTAGTTTATGTTGATTGATGTTTAAGAATGAATTAATTAATTTGATTTTTTGGCACTTATGTTGTTTTTTTTTTCATGTTATAAAAATCTTAGCCATATGATGAATATAAATATTGAAAAATTTATCTCTTTTGCTGTGGATCCACCGTGTCTATGTCTTGTTAGACACCGAGTCCATGTCCAAGATTCTTAACATAAATATATATTTTTTCACTTATTTACAATGGTTTGCTTTAAGCACTAACTAAATAAACTGATGTAAATGAGCAAGAAAACATGAATATTTAACCGCACATTTAAAAATTCACAGGAACTGACTACCTGCCATAGTAGTGTTGGCCAGGCACCTCCATTGTGGTAGGACCATGGACTACAACAAAAACCACAAATATGACAATGAGATTAGATTTAAGAAGAAAAGAGGACTTCCAAGGGTAATAAGGTCAAGGAAGGGACTTACGTGTTCTTTGGATCGCTGCCAGTAATAATCTGCCATTCCAGACCTTCAAGAGCAGGATAACATATCTTGAATGGCATATCAGCCACCAAATCCCACCATTTGGCTTCAATGAGATCCAATATTGCATGTGATTGCTCCACTGTTGCAAGACCACTTACCACAGACCATAAATTTCCGAGAGAAAAGAAACGGAAATCCATGTGAGCAGGTTGCAAATTGCCAATTAGATAACCTCCTTTACTAGGCATCCACTCAACTAGCCAGGGAGAAATCTGATCTGGGTAGATGTTGAACTTATTTACAGCATCATATGAGTACTCCTCTGTCTTGTAACGGTAGATCTCATTGAGTTTTTTCATATCAATCCAGTAGTACTCTCTGATGTGGAATGATAATGCCACAAGACGATTATTTAGTGCTCGAATTAGGTCAGCAGATCCATCCTCTGGAGTAAGCATCTCACGAGCACCAAGTAGTGCTGAATAAAAAAGTGCCTGCAGCAACAGGGAAGTAACATTCTACATTACTGAAAGAAGTGAAAAAGAAACAAAAGTTACAAGGCATAACAGCAGATGCATGATGGCCTCTGTATCAATTGATTAGCATCTTCGCTGCTCTAGGGATGATTTTCAGAAGGAAGTAACAGCAGAAGCCCATTGACATTAGTTTGTGAAAAATCCGTATTCTATATGCACATCACAGTTTGAACCAAAATACTTACAATTTACACAATAAGTGGAAACAAATACAGATAATAACAATTTAATTGTTTGTTTACCTGAATTTCAAGAGGGTGACCGTGAATTCCATCCGACGATCTATCATACAAGAACCATCAGTCACTAATAATGTTGGAAACATATCAAAACCATCAGCAAGACACAGCCTCAGAATCATCTTAATTCCAGTTTGGACATCAACTCTCTCCTGAACTGAGAGATCTCCAGAGCATTTTCCATATGCACGTAACAGTATAATCCACCAAAGTCCTGGAAATTATACCATAAAGTGGACAAATTTTCATGCATGAAATCCTTATGATAGGTTATGGTCCAAAATAAGGTTGTTGTGTGAATGGTTTTCTTTACCAGAATCAACTGGTGCAACTCGACCAATTGCTGCCTCTCCAAAGTCAGGATCCAATATCTCCTCTGTTGCTGAGTCATCACCATCCAAGGGAACAGTGCGCACCTTGAAACTTGCAGGCATCAATCCTTGACCTGGACTATGACAGTCCATAGTTTTCTCCCAGCTCTGAAAAAAAAAAATATATTGGATTCACACAGAACAGAAAAATAGAACATGATAATCTGCATAAATATGTAAGCAGCATTTGAGTCATTTAATTAGTTATTTCTAGGTGCATGCATAACTTGCAATATGCATGATAAAAGACCAATTTGTAATCTATTCAATTATGCATGACCAGTGCAATGCACAGCTTCCATGATGCACACTAGCTGCCAATATATTATGGTTCTAAATGGTTCAGCTATATTTTAGCACAAGCCATCTTCATCGCGCACAAAGTGCATAAACATAACCATCTATCCAGATAATAGGTTCTCTGGCCAGTGAGAATGAGATATTCCACTTTTTTACTTAATTAGGGTAATATGGCATGCCTACTTCTTTAACCACTCTTTCATGGTATGAACATAATTACAGCATAGTGCATGCCCTTGAAAAGAAATGCAATACAGATAGCTACAAGCCTTCCAGCTGAAATTTTTGTAGTTTTTGAAGAAATGCAAGCAAGAGTGTCTTTGTTTAGGAGATGACAACAAAAGTGATCATAAAAAAATATGTAAAGGAAATGGCATTTATGGGTGAGAGGATGTTAACTATAAGAGAAATGCCTTCTTAGAATATTATCATTTAATTTTGGGCAGGTGAATGTCATTTATGCATCATCTATAAGCAAAATGACAAGACTGGCCTCATTGACGGGCATTTAATGTCCACCTGAGTAGCAAGCATGGATGTGAAAAATCACAAAGATTGAACTGTTCGAACTGAAACAAGACGAATCTAAGAAAAGATATATATTTTGATAACAAAAGACAAAGAAATCAATTGTTGGTGCAAGATAAGGAAATTAAAGAGAGGTTGTAGAGGTATTCCTGAAGTTACCAGTAAAAGAACATAGAAAATTTAATTAGAGCTTCTATGAGTTGAATTAGAAAACTTTGTGAAAGATTTAAAGCCGTGACTATGACAAAGTTGAATTAGTTGAATTACTATAACTGTGATCCTTTAACACTTCAGCTAAGCTTTAATTAAACTAATATGTTATTAACTACTGGTGATGAACAAGTTCATTAACATTTAATATTATAGATTCATTAAAACCAACTGAACGATCCTGACGAGTCAATAAAAAAAAAACTGCATTAGAGGCTTATTTCTCACAGTTAGATTTCAGAATTGGTATCTGAACCTCAAATAGACTAGATGGAGAAATAGAAAATCATGACAACAAAAATCATTACTGGTATTTTGGGGGAAATAAAGAACAAAAATTTGAAATGATAACATATAATCCGGATGCATTATGGAAACTTATGTGCAGGGTCAAGTTGGTAAAAATATTACCCGTTAAAATAGTGAAGGGAGACAATTATGGCCAAAAAAAAAAGGAAAAAGCAAACAAGTAATTGGTAATATCGTGCCTGAACACAATCAGATTGCAATATATGTACCTGCAGCTGTAACGTGTGAAGGATGAAGTTGCGAACAATATCATACTCTCCCTTCAATAAGAAAGCTATTGCAGAAGGTATAAAGTCACGAATAAAGACTTGATCATAATTCAGAACATTTGAACTGGTTGGATCCTTGGCAGCAATTGTTCCAATAGGACTACCACAATAATAAACCACAGATTCCCTCAGCAGTTCCCATGCTTCATTCTCAATAGAGTCAAAACTATTAATCTTGTCATATGTATCTCTGACTGTTTCAACTCGAGAAGAGTTACCATTGGATGTAAAGACTTCCTTTTCAATTTTTATTTTGGAACCTCCTCAAGGTCTAGAATGTTAGGATAATTCACCATGCCATTAGTTGTTGTCAATTTCTGTGCGTTGTCCACATACCATGTCCCATTTCCACTATCTGCACTAACTCCATTCACACTTTCAGCCTGTTGGCAATTGCAGATAACAAACCTTGATCTATCTATCACATTCTTTCCAATTGCAACCCTTCTCACTCCTTGAAACCAGTGATTATTAAAGCTACTTTTTAGCATGCCAGAACATTTGAGAAACTGTACATGTTTTGAGCCCCTTTTCTTTCTACATTTACTGGAGGACTTAGAAAAAAGATTTGAGTGGGATATACCAAAGCATTTGTCTGAACAGAACACACGAGGTACAGCCCCACCCAAAACCTGCAGAATTGCCTCAGTAGTGCCCATTGACAGACCACTACTTGGGAAAATGAATAGTGGTTAACTTAAACCTTTCTAGGTAGAAACAAATGCAAATCTCCACTTTATTCTGTGACACCTTGAGACCTTAGAAAACAAAGGAGACAAAGATCAAAATTTGAAAATGACAGAAGGATTTGCGTAATGCCATTGTTATAGGGTGAAATAAAAAGAAAACAAGATCAACACATGCAAAGAAATAAATGGACTCAGATTACAGCAAAAATGCATGAGATACGAATCTATTAGTAATAAGTAAATGATGCATAGACTAGATACGTTTTGATTAGAACAAAGTAACTACAGAAAAACCAATCTACACTTAGCTCCAGATAACAACTACAATTCTCAGGGTGAGTTTGAGGATTGAGATTTTTGTTGGACCAGAAAGCAAAAGAAACACACAATCGACTTTAGCACAGGAAATTCTCACTTCATTTTATCTAGTTTTCTCCAGTTAATACAGAATAGCATACTTGAATTCCCAACTAAAGGTCTCCAATTCACTCAATGCACTCAGTCCTGTCTACAAGTCAATAACCCCAACTTCATAAAGTAGAACGAAAGGTTTCAAGCGTAAAATAACAATAAAACAAAAGTAGAAAACAAATCCAGAAATACCAAAATCGCATTCTACCAGTTTAAAGTTGTAAATTTGCAAGAATCAACAAACAAACTCACCAGAACAATTTCTCCCACAATTGCCTTGCTTCTTTTTAACCGGTAAAGTTATTATAAGAAAAAAAAAAAAAGAAAAAAAAAAAGAAAAAAAAAAAAAAGATCTCTCGTAAGCAGCATACCCATTTGGTAAGCATAAAAATCTGATTATACGAAGACGTCCACAAAAGCAAAGCGAAAGACTCAAGGTAAAACTCAACAGAAGAGGACGAAGAGGAGGAAGAAGTATTGGCCCAATCGAGAACGAAATAAACCCACCAAAACCATACAACTATGGCCGATGAATTCGCAGAAAAAACACATAATTGGACTCGAGCGTGCATATTTTCCCAAACCATGTAAATAGAAAAGAAGCTTGGAAGTGTACCTGATCGAATATCAAGAGGCCCCAGACAAAATCAAGTGCTCCTGAATGGCGAGAAATAAGATTTATAGAAGCGTAAGGTGAACCGAAGGCCTTATTCCAAACGAAACGTGAAACAATCGTTATCAGGATTAAGCGAGCGAGCCCGCAAGCAACGATATGAAATAATCAGGATTCGGGAAAGAAATTAGTCGATGTGATCGGACAAACGGTCAACTTGTACGCTTAGTTTTTCGGCTGGCGGCTTTGATTTTTATCAATATTAAAATTTTCTGTTAGTTTATTTGTGTCAGGATATAGTCAAGTGGAAATTCGGACCAATCACTGTTCGCCACGTGTGAAGTAAAAGTTTGGTTGGAGGCCTGTCGGCTGTCAAGGAGGTTGAGAAATAATCAATCCTGTCCTCTCATTCCTTTTCGCAATTAAATTAGGCACTTTTTAGGAATAAAAATCCCTGATTGTGAGTGAAAATATATTTCTTACAAATAAAATAATGAAAAATAAATTTAGTAATTTAGAATTTAGAAATTATTTTTACTTTAAAATAAAAAAAGCTGATATCATAAGACAAGTCTACGTATGTAAATAGATTTCAGAGTATCTTTGTTGCTACCACCACTTTAAAATATGGATTTTATATAAAGTTTATTTTTCTAAATATTAAAAAATATGTTATAACTTATGGTCGAATTTATCTAAATTTAATTTATTAATATTAGGCACAAACACACAGATCAGAAGATATATTTGATGTTACGTACTGTTTCAGTAGTGTAAGGTGTCCAACATCAAAGGGTGCTACTAGAAGAGCACCTAGCATCAAATAAATTGAGTTGGAGATAAGGAGTAGAAATTTATGAGCCACTCATGACCTATTTATTTTGGCCTACTCATTAATCTAAGTCACATTTAGTTCAAGAAATTAGTTTTTTTATTCAAACAAACTAGACCTAATAATGTTAGTCTTTACTCATAAACTAATAGTCCCATTTATACATTTAATTATATATAAAAAATATATTTTAAATATAATTTATATCATATAAATTATATATTAATATAATATATTGTATAATATACAATATCTTTTTTATAATTTAAATAAGTTCTGCCTAACACGCTAACAAGCCAAATCGGCCCTGTTAGTTTTATAAATAAGTTAGGTAAAACCTAATTTTTTGAGTTGTTATAGGCCATGAATCAAATTCAAGTTCAGATTAGTAATTTTTATAATAAATTTAATTTTTTTAAGTCTCAATTTTACTTGATCTAACTTATATTTATCTTTAATTAAAAATTAAAATTTATTAAATTAGTGTCAATATCTAATATTAATCTGACGAATATTATAATAACTAATCTACTAAATAAGTTGTAAGAATAATTATAATCTTATACCCTCACCCAAGTGTTAAAAAAAAAAAACAAAAATGAAAATCAAGAGAGACGTGGGTTGGATCCAGAAAGGAGTGGACCTGATGTTTCTGGCACGACGCATTTTTTTTTTATTTATTTTAATATTTTATTTCAGTATTATTGTGGTAAATATTATTTTCCCGGCTATGATATTTTTCGGCTTCTTAAAAACCTCAGTTATCCGACGCAGGAAAAAATAAAAAATGGGAAGAAAAGTCAACGAAAATAAATAAATAAATAAATAAAATGTGAAGAGGAAACGTACACGTGTGGCGCGTACTACCAAGTGTCAAGTTGCCGCAACTGGCCCCACACCATTTTCTTAATTCTTCCTCCTTAATTTTGTTTTTCCTAGTTAACTTTTTTTTGTCCCACTTACACAATAATTTAATTTAAAAATTAAATAATATTTTTTTAATTCAACATAGGCAATAGTTTTTAATTTTATTTTCTTTCTATTCTTTTCTATAAATGTCTACGAGGGGCAACGCGTGAATTTTATCTTAAATATTTTGTGTAAAGTATAATAATATTAAATATATGACAAAAATTATTTATTATTGAAAAAATATAAAGTTAGGTAATTTAATAATTTTAATTAATTAAAATGTCAAAATATAAAATATTTTTTTACAGAGTTTGTACTCACTTTGACATTGAGTTTTTTATTCTTGATTTGACAACGCTATTTATTTCAATATTATCACTCTCTCGCTGCTGCAAGTATTTCTCCTTTCGTTGATCACCATCGCCTTTGACTGTTAAAAAGCTTCGTTTTCGAATCTATATACACACACATACACACAATGTATATATGTACTTTTGCTCCTCATCCTTTGCTTTTTTGAACAATCATAATGCGCGCGCGCGCACACACACATATATATTATATATGTATGCATGTATATCTACGTGTCTTATATTATATGAGAGTTATAAGTATATCTTTTTTTTAGAATTACAATCATTTTTATGTGAAATTACAAAAATCTTTCTATTAAGTTATAAATAATTTTTTATAAAGTTGCAAACTATGCCCTGTATATACTTATATAAATCTTATTTTATATAAAATGTTTCAAATGTATAATTAATGTTATATGGAAAAAAATTTATAGATTTTGAGGTTGATATAAAAGGAAAATTTTCAACAAATAATTAAACAAATTTTTTTTTATTGTGGCAAAAGTTAAGGGTCAAAAATTACTATTATTGTTAAGAAATTAATTTTAAATTATTTTCTTTATAAATATATGTTCATATTATGATGCCAGACAAGTTTCTAAATTACAAGTATTTTCACAGTCCAGTTAGAAGCATGTTTTTGTAGAATTGCAAACATCTTTTCTATGAAATTAAAGTATCATCATATGAAATTATAAGCACCTTTAAAATTATTTTATTTTGCATATCTTTTTTTATCATGAGACTGGTATGAAAAATGAATCTATAGATGGTGAGATTGGTATGAAAATGACGAATTTCAACCAAAATAAAAAAAAATTTCTTAAATTATGGCAAGCATCAATGGTCAAACATATGCTCTTATTGTTAAGCAATCTATTTAAATTCTTTCATTAAAATTTTTTAGTGTAAATATATTTCTTATTGTGATGTCAGACCAATTTTTAAGTTGCAACATTTTTACAATCCAATTACAAGCATGTTTCAGTAGAATTATTATATGCATCTTTCTGCAACATTATAACTACTATTTTGTGAAATTATAAGGAATTTTATGTGAAGTTACAAGCATTTTTCAAATTACTACATTTGACATTTTTTTTATTGTAAGATTGATATGAAAAAAAATACATTGTGAAAGTGACATGAAAATGAAGATTACAACAAATAAGGAAATAAATCCTAAAATTGTGACAAACATAGATAGTCAAACCAATACTCTTATTTTTAAAGAATTTATTTAAATTCTTTTATTATAATTAATTCACTAAAATTCTTTCTTTATAATTAGCATTAGTTACTGTATATATGTAATTTCATAGATAAATACTTATAACTCCACGGAAAAAGGCTACTAATTACATAGGAAGATGTCCATAGCTACACATAAACTTGCTTGTAACTTGGAAAATATATATGACACATATAATTAGTCAAAAAAAATTAGAGGATGAGGAGTAAATAGGTGTATAAAAATATATATACATCATATTATATTTAGATGAGTGTATATAGACTTGAAGGTGACGATCAAAAGTTTTTGGTAGAAAGGTGAAGTTTTCTGGCAGTCAAAGGCTACGTACCACGATCTAGAAAAGTGGATCCATGACCGGTGTTAGGATTGGAATACATTCCAACCGTGCAAACCTAATATAGAACTCAACATATAACTGAACAAAAATCTCACATAAAATCAGAGACAAAATTTAATCCAAAATCTCAACCAAGTTATCAATATATATCTACAAGAATATGTTTGTAATCAAATGAAACTATGTATACCCCTAACTTAGGGATATTTATGTAAATTACTAAATAAAGGACTAAATCAAACAAATCAAGAATATCATGGATTAAATATAAAAGGAATCAATTTTAGGGGGATCCAATCAAAAGAAATCAAAAAACAGTGAGGATCAAATCAAAGGGAAATCTGGAAATTAGGGACTGAATCATAATGAATCAGGAAAATATGGAGCAAATCAGAAGAAATCAGAAAAATGGTGAGGATTAAATCAGTGAATCTGGAAACCTGGGGACTAATGTGTAGGAAATCAAAAAATTTCAGATTTGGATCCGTCGGACTATTCACAATTTTGGAAACCAAAATCCGAGCAAAAACATCTACGATTTGTTCCAAAAATTGTATAAAAAGCAAGGCGATGGCTGTGGTAAAGCACAATTCCTCAAACTATTTTACAATATCAGTAGAAAATTGAGAGGACTTTTCAGAAAACTTTCCCGGTTGAGGACTACGCTCGGGAGATCTAATTTTGTTGATCTCATGAAGAAGGTTGACTATTCCAAATGTTGATCTAGCTGTGGTCGCCTGTCAATCTCGATTGCTGTTGAGGGATTTAACTCCAAAAGACTTCATGAAATTCCAGGTAATTTCTTACCTTTCTAGTGCGGGGTGAACGGGTTAGGGAGGAGGAACCCGGAAGCAATTTGGGTTGGACACGGGTTTTGGGCCTTCGAATGGAGCAACCCATGCTAGGTGGGCTGGATCCGCGGCAGTTGGGCTTGGGTTGACAGGCCAAGCCCATGATCCAAAAATAATATTAAAAAAAAGAAAGAAAATGGGGGAAAGTAAGGTAAAAATAGGCCCGTTCACCTAGTAATTAACCGGTTTTCCACCGGTTCAAGGGGCAATAAATTAGTT